CGTAGCGCTGCTGGGTGCTGAGCGTGCGCACTGGTCGCCGGGCTCCAGCGTGCGCCGGCTTTGTGACGTTCGGTGGGGTGTCTGTGCTGATGCCCCTCCAAACGCACGTGGATGCGGTGTCCACCTCCTCGGGCACATGGTGAAGAATCTAAAGCGTAGGACTGCTCCATCTTTCCTCTCTAGCCCCAGGCTCCTGTGGGGAGGGGTGGGGGGGGGCTCTCATGTGCTCCATCTCACCTCGGGATCTGCTCCCCATCAGGCGAAGCTTCCTGTAGCAGGGGCCAGGTTGAGAAAGGTGGTCCCAGGGCACTGAAGAAGGTCCGTGATCTCTGGGAACAGGTCACAGCCTCCCCTTTTCCTTCTAAGGAGTATGCCTGTCAGTACTTGGAGAGTGGCTTTCTCACTGCTTACGTGGCAGGCAGGCTCCGCAGACCTCTATCATTGCTCTGGCCACCGTGGAAACTACCTGTGGGTGCATCTAGATAGGTCAGAAACTTGAAAACTTACAGGGGTGCAGCTTAAAATACACAAATCTGTAAGTGTATGGCTCAATACGTTTGTAATTACGTATAGAGAACGTTTCCGGTGCCCTGAGGGCCCCCTGTGCCCTCTCCCAATCACTACTCACCTTCCAGAAGTTCACAATTCAGGTCAGGGACTGCTAGGTATACTTTTAAAGCTCTAAGCATCTAGTTAAGTGCCACTCACATAATTGAGACTCACATACTTCTTGGATCTTGCTGAGTTTGAGTCAAGAAATTAAAACTAGAATGGGGTCTTTTGTTCATTCAACAATTATCAAGAGCTTGCTATGTGACAGGTATTGTACCTGGCGCTGGAGATGCTGGAGTGAATAAAATCAATGTATTTTCTCCATGCTTACATTCTAAGTGGAAAGACAGACAACCAAATGCATAACTGCCTATTTACATTTAATGCAATGTCAGCGCTGATTAGTGCTCTGAAGAAGAGTAAAGTCAGGAACAGGAATGGCGGCGCTGTTTGGAGCCAATGACCAGAAAAGACTTCGTTGAGTTTCTGTTGGAGCAGAGCTCTGAATGAAATGAGTGACACCTTCAGATATCTGGAGAAGGGTGTTTTAGTCAGAGAAAACAGCAAGTGCAGAGATCCTGGGACCTCAAGTAGTGTGCTTGACCTGCTCCCAAAACATCAGGGAAGCCAGTAGAACTGGAGGAGAGGGGAGGTGGGAAAGAATGGTAGAAAATAAAGATGCACAGGTATCAAGGGCCGGATCATGTAAGACACCTTGTGGTGCATTTGGAATGTGATAGTAAATGACTAGAGGATTCTGAGCAGGAGATGACATAATATGACTTTTTTTAGAATTGATTTCCGATAGAGGAAAGGAGAGAAAGAGAAACATTGATGTGGGAGAGAAACATCAATTGGCTGCCTCCCGCATGCACCCCGACCGGGGGTAGAACATGCCCTGACCAGGATTCGAACCCGCCACCTTTTGGTGTATGGGACCATACTCCAGCCAACAGAGCACACTAGCCAGGGCTGACATTTTTAAAGGCTTGCACTGGCTGCTGGAGGTGGAGCCATGGAATAGTGCAAATGTTCGCATGCACCCTGACCGGGGATAGAACATGCCCTGACCAGGATTCGAACCCGCCATCTTTTGGTGTATGGGACGATACTCCAACCAACTGAGCCACACTAGCCAGGGCTGACATTTTTAAAGACTTGCAGTGGCTGCTGGAGGTGGAGCCATGGAATAGTGCAAATGTAGGAGGGAAAATACAGTAATGTAAGAGAGACTATGAGTCTTGGGGCTAGAGGGGTAGTGATAGAAGTGGTGAGAATTGCCGAATTCTGAATATATTTTGAAGATTTGAACCAGCATAATGTGCAGATGGATTGAATGTGGAGTGTAAGGAAAATGAATCAAAGATGATGGATTTTTAGAAAAAAGGGGAGGAAAAGGGATGACAGATTTTTGCCACACGCCCAGCCCACACACACCCTAAGCAACCAAATGATTGATGCTGGGACCCCCTCCTGAAATGGGGGAAGATCAAGAAGAAAGGATTATGGAATAAACATGGATAGTTTTATTTTAGACATGCCAAGAGTTTGAGATGCCTATTGGACATCCAATGCAGGCAATTGGAGAGTAAAAACTAAAATTCAGGGAAAAGTCAGGACAGGAGATACATATTGGGAGTCATCAGCATATATATGGATATATATGTTATTTAAAGCTGTGAGACTAGATGCGATAACTAGAGAGTGAGTGTGGATAGCAGAGAAGATATTTTAGGATATTTAAGATATTGAGCCCTGAATAATTAGAGATGATTTGTAAGACAAAAGAATGTGGTCATTATACTATGATGACCTCTCATTGAGCAATCACAGAAAGTTTCTTGCCCATCTTGGTGTCAGGAGTAGGTCTGCTTCTCTCTCTCTCTCTCTCTCTCTCTCTTTCTCTCCTGAGCCCTGAATAATTAGAGATAGTTTGTAAGACAGAAAAGAATGTGGTCATTATACTATGATGACCTCTCAGTGAGCAATCACAGAGAAAGTTTCTTGCCCATCTTGGTGTCAGGAGTAAGTCTGCTTCTCTCTCTCTCTTTCTCTTTGTTTTTTTCAGTTTATACATTTATTCTAGAAATCCCCTTTCAGTGTCTTGGGCCCAGATCTGTTGGTACAAAAAGAAAAGTTTATCAGGTAAAGGGGTAGGGAGACCCCCAACTCCAGGAAGTCACAGACAGGTATCATAGAAAACACAACTTGTGTAGATTTGTTTAAAAAGTGGTGATGGAGCCCTAGGCGGTTTGGCTCAGTGGATAGAGCATCGGCCTGCCAAAGGGTCCTGGGTTCGATTCTGGTTGCAGGCTCCTCCCCGACCTGGGCCCTGGTCGGGGCTTGTGCAGGAGGCAACCAATCGATGTGTTTCTCTCACATGAGTGTGTGTCTCTCTTTCCCTCTCTTTTCCGCTCTCCCTGAAAATCAATGAAAAACTATCCTCAGGTGAGGATTAAAAAATAAAATAAAGTGTGATGGAAGGAAAGCCAAGGAAGATGAGCCAGGCATCACCTAGGATTTTACTGGCATCGTCCAGGTGCCAGGTTCCACCACGGCAGCATCCCAGGACACAGCACGTGCAATGGCTCTGTCCTTCAGCCCTCTTGTGGGCATCCAGACTGAGGATAGTCAGGGCAGAGACTGCTGCCAAAGGCTGGGCCATCTTACCCTGCAGATAGAAGAAGTGGGCACAGAGAGGCAGTAGATCTGCTTCTCTTGAAGGATTAGAGAGTCTCTCATTGATTGTGTTTCCCACTGGATAATCACACTGAGACCTTGGAGCTGTGTTTATGATCTCCTTCTAGTAGGCATTAGACTTAAGGCATATGATTTGTGGCCTATTGCAATCAGGGTCCCTGACAGGAAACATGGCATCTTTAAAAGGGTTACCTAAAGAGAATTTCATGAAGAAGTTAAGTTACAAACGTATGGAAGGATTAAGGAAGCCAGCAAGGGATGGTTCACAGGAAGTGTTACCAGCCTCTAGGCCTTACGCAGAAAGAGGACAGAGTCATCAGAACCCAGCAAGACCTGTAGCTATAGGAGAAACTGGAGACGAGAGCCCTTAAAGGAGCAGAGGGCAGGAGGAGAAGGGTGGGGGGAGAATCTAGAAGAGCAAACGGGGAATATCCAGCCAAATGCAATTGTCATCCCAGCTCCCATCTTGCTCTGGTAAACTTTATTTCCCCTTTGCTTCGTTTTCTGATTTATTGTAAATTTATTTTTTCTTGATGCTTTGTAAACCTCTTTAAATTCTTTTTGGAAGAGGTTGAAAGAATGGGAAAAAGTAGAGATGATCATGAAAGAACAATTCCTACTGAACTAACTTCATTTCCTTTTTGGATAAGGTTATGAGACTAGTAAATAAGCAGGGTCTCAAAGTGTACTTATAATGTGTAAATTTAATTTTTATTATGAAATATTTTGTACATAACAAATTATGTGTATACATGTATATCATATTTGTAAGTTAAGTTGTAAGTACTAAAATACCTATATGCCCTGTGATATTCAGTCTTTGGCCTCAATTTTTCACTCTTCCTTACATCCATGCCATAAGGAAACCAGCAAGGGATGGTATATAAAGACAGAGTATACTTCCCCATTCCTTGACTTTTTTTTTTTTTTGGTTAACCCTCACGTGAGGATATTTTTTACATTGATTTTTTGTGGTGGTTTTTGTTTTGTTTTGTTTTGTTTTTTAGAAAGTGAAAGGGAGCTGGGGGGAGGGGGGGAAACAGCAATGTGAGAGAGACACATTGATTGATTGTTTCCCCCATGCGCCACAACCGGGGCTGGGGATTCAGCCTGCAACCAAGGTACGTGCCCTTGACCAGGCTCAAACCTGAGACCCTTTAGTCTGCAGGCTGATGCTTTAACCACTGAGCCACACTGGGGAGGACCCTATTTGAACTGCACCTTTCAGGTTGCTTTGGCCAATGGGATGATGGCCGATGTTATGCAAGCAGGGGCATGAAGTGTGTTTGTCCTGTTGGGGGCACCCTCTGAATACTTTGCACTGCCATGAGATGAACTTGCAACAGCTAGCCACCTGGTCCAAGAATGAGTCACATGGATATAGTCACCCAGCTGACCTGCAGACCTGCAGTTTAACATTGAGCTGGCCAGCTGAGCCCAACCTGAAACAGCTGACCCCAGCTTACCCAAAAATGTATGAAAAATAAATGCTTATTTTATATCACAGAAATTTTGTGGGTTTTTTTGTTTACACAGAAAAGGGTAACCAATACATAGTCACTACTCAAGAAGAAGAATGTTTCTTTGTGTGCCT